TATATGTACGTTAGTATCTATTTCACACTGTGGCGTCTGGGCGGAATAAGCTGTCTGCTAAAGTAACTCGCCTACAGTGATATGACTCCAGGCACTTGGCAACATGGCATCCAGCTCAAACCTGACACAATTTATTTCCAGTGGCTCTAAAAAAAAAAACAAATCCTTGACAAGCAGGAGATTGTTAAATGACAGCCTTTGAATAGCCCAGCACACCATTACTGTTGATTTGGCGATGGGCTGTCAAGTGTAGGTGCACCTAAGAGCACTAAACAGCATGCTATATGCTGGACCCATGTTGCGAGAGACTTGCAAGACAGGGAGAGAAAGACAGAGACACAGACAGACGGATAGATGCACAGAAAGGCAGAGAGACAGAGGAGAGACAGACCGAAAGGGAAAGACACAGAGAGAGGGTGAGCGATCATTCTACTTAAGAACGCTCTACTTGGTTTCAAGGGCAACTGATTCTGAAACAACAAAATATGAAACGTGTGTGTGTTTGTATGTGTATCAGTATGTGTAGTGTTATGCTAGGATTACAGGCACTTAGCTCACAGCGATATACTACTCTCATAGGCGCGAGCAAACCTCACCGCATACTGATTAGATTAAGGGCTCCGTGTGAGAAGGAGAGTCTCTGTGAGTGCGCATCTTTGTCTGTTAGGAGTGAAAGTGTGTGTGCGTGCGTCGGTTTGTATATGAACATGGATGTAGATTACATCCGTGTGTGTGTGTGTGTGTGTGCGCGCGTGTGTGAGACTGCTGTTGTCAGCCCTGCAGCAGCTGATAAACACGTAACAAATTCTTCCCCACACATATTAGCAAATCAGCCATTAGCTTTCTCTGCTAATTGCCATTGGAAATTAGCATTTTAGCTATTAGCTTCTTTCACAAATTGCCAATGGAAATTAGCATATTAGCACTGAGTGTTGCGAGGCAATTGCTGAGGCATCAGGCAGCATGGCCTAGTTTTCAGAAAGACTGTTCCACAACAAAAGAGTCAGTTGTTTAAATCCTGCTGCAGCAAGTGCAGCCATTTAAAGTGAACAAGACCAAGTGGTTTTTAAGGACTTTGACGAGGGAAATAATTACGGGCTGTCTTTCTTTCATTTTCAGCCAGTTTAAATTTGCATGAATATTTAATATCACCCAGAAGGTTAATTGATACTTAGATACTTAAAACGTCTTATTGTTTGAACTAAACAATCATTTGATTTCAGGTTGTCTGGGTATTTATTGTGCCTACAATAAATAAAGATCTAATGTTCATGCTTCTATGCAGACTGTTTGAAAAATGATCTCATGAGTCTTGGGACTTCTCAGGGATACTCTCATTAGCCAAGTCATTCTCCAATGCATCCCTACATTGGTAATCTTTCTTTTAACTCAACAGATAAAAAAAAAATAAAACAATAAAGTTATCTTTATTGTTGCTAGTTTTTTAAAGCAGTAGATGCACAGTAGTGACAATACAATTGTCAGCCACATCAAATAGCTATGCTGTCATTGGCTTGGCTGACTGTTGCACAAGCTCTGAAGACAGCAAGAGTCAGGTGTTTTTATTGTCTTTTGATTTGTATACAGAAACTTGGCCGATATTCTTAACGTGCACATACTGTTTCAAATTGAAACACATACTTTTAAGGAAAAGATGTCTGACAACAGGTTAAGGCCAGTTTAAATAGATTTAAATGGCATTCACATCGAGTCTGTCGTAAAGATCACCTCCAAATAATGTCCCGTTGATCCCTACCTCCAACAATAAAGGTTACAGTGTGTTTCAAATCCATCTCTGATAATAGCAAGTTATTTGGTGTTCTTTTTAGCAGATTACACACACTGTGTGTAATTGCTGATCACAGAATATTGTAAAGTTGTAATTTAAAGTATTTAGCATGCTATGTGCTCAACAGTTTTAATGTCATTTCAAAGTGTCTCTTTCTTCCATAATCATCATCATCATCATCATCCTGATAAGACAGATAAATGAACGTTGTTTACAGAGAAGGGGGATCCAAACAGTGTTGTTTACAGAGTGACTTTCTGTCGATATCAAGCTTCGGGAGTTTCCGTGGGGACAAAAAGGACAAATATCAACTGATACTACTGTATAGAGAATAGATGCCACTCATTGCACAGCACACAATCGCACACTAAAGCTACACAGCTGCACACTTAATTATGAATGCATGTATTTTAATGCAAAAAGGGAAAGATACTTAAGCACAGACAAAAACACATGTGAAAGGAAGTATCACCGGATGTGCGGATGTCCTGATCAAGTTCCTTTGCCCCCGACCCCGATCAGAGTCAGTAAATATTGATAATCTGCCAATACCGAGTCCCGATTTGTACTTGTACTATCCTAGATAATAGAGCTGCACATTCAAAAATGCCATTGATTATTTTTATTTCCGCTCTCTCGCTACCACCATTCACATGCTGTGAATGTACAAGTACAGAAGCCAAAAACAGACTGCACCATCAGTATCTACTTCTACCCAGCCAGCAGCCGGTAACCTTTATGCCCCTGGAACAGACTGACATCTTTAAGAGAACTCGATCCACGTTAACGCGATACGTCACAAGTCCCTGCTGATATTCCAGAACACATTCATGTACAGCACTGACACTATTCTGCAGCTATACCCTTCAACCTAATTCCAGAGGTGCTGTACTGCGTTGAGATATAAAGGACTTTGTAGGTCACTGTAGGAAACTAACATCACTGTCCTTTCCCTGAAGCCATCCGAAGATGATGCATGCTTTCTGATAAGGAAGTAGCCAACTGCAAAAAAAGAAACACTGCGGCCATGAGGGGATGCACCTGCATAGGAGCAATGCTTAGAGTACATTCAAACGATGCTAAATTGGTACTACCGAGTCTAGCGCAGCCTAGTTCATGTCGAGAAACCATTCTCCAGACACCTACAGCACCACCAGCAGCCTGCACCATTTACTGGATGAGAGAATCCATGGGATCAGGCTGTTTGTATCAAATTCTGACCCTGTCATCGGGAAACCTCAAAAGAAACGGAATATTTTAAACTAGGGAACATTTGTCTGCTCCTTAAGGGTTCTGCAATGTGCCTTTTTTATGACATCTCTGGTGAACAACACACTCTTACCCACACATTTACATTTGTGTATTTACTATTTCTGTTCAGGGTTAAAATAGGGTTTGTTTATCATCTTAACTTATTCGCAACATCAGGGCAAGTTGGCATAATTTCTGCTCCAGGCTGAATGTCTGAATGTCGCTGCTCTCTCCTCTCAGTTCAAAACTACAAGCATATAATCAGCCTGGCTGCCGGGAAAAATCCACGATGTGAGAAAAAGTCAACACACTGACCTCAGTATGGCTCTGTGAGTCTCCAGAGTTAATCCAACAAGCAAATAACTACACAGCATATATTCTATATGAGCCAAGACACCGGTCAGTCTAAATCACACACTACCAGTCACCACCACATTACCGTCCAAAGGCCAACACTCCAGCTCTGAGCAGTAGATTTTGGTCGTAAGTATTCAGTATTCATTTATATCTGTTTTGTAGGTTTATAGTACAAATTTTCTAAAAAGTTGATACAAATTAAAATGTGTTTAAATATAATTAGTGTCCCTGCTTTATGAAAAAAAGGACAGAAAAACCTGAAAATAAATTGTCTTGAGGCAAAACATACTGCTGGTAATTATTAATTATCAACTTACACATGGTCCCTTTTTGTATGTATGTTGGTGTGTTTTGTATTTACAAATGTACTGGCATGTTGGCCAGATTCAAGACAGCATTAAAAGGTCAAATAAAAAATGAAGTACAATCAAATAAATCAAACATGACAAATCAAACATAAAACGTATAAGTCTGTCTTTAAGGATTAATAGTATTCTGATTGTATCTAATGAATGTATAGATCATGTCAAGAAAAATAATAATTACAAAATAATAATCAAATGTGGCATTTCTGATAAAAAAATCTGTTAACTTTTCAATTGAAGTGTATGCAATGAAATGTTACCAGGAGAGCCCGATCACTTACCAACAAGAGATATCAGTGGAAAAGTCGAGCTTCTTTTAACATGATTGCAAGTATAAACACACATATATATATACATGCACACATATACACACGGGCACATGAGTGAGTATGGTGGTATTGTACTTGTATAAACACACATGCTGACAAATACTCTTTACAACAGCAACAGCCTCGCTATTATCACTTCCAAAGCAATTACACACACACACACGCATAACCCTGACCAAGATAGCACAGATCAATTAATTCATCTCTAAAGTACGAGGCCCATGCAGAAGGATTGCACATGAACCCCCCCTCCCCTCCCCACCACACCAATACTTTATTTATTTTTATCCATGGAAAAATGACTAAACTTCAAGAGCAAGAGATAAAAACTGTACTTTATATATGTAATAATGTTTCCACTTTATTACCTGTTCTTACTTGAGTTCTAACTTATTTTTATCACTTGTTCTAACTTTTTATGACTGTACTCCAAGTGTGGTTAAATTGTTCCATAAACTCAGCCGCTACGTGACTAAACTATCTTTGCAGAAATGCTAGGTCAGAGATGTCAACCGAATCCTCTTCTTTTTTTGTAAAGTATGGTTTTGGACCACATTCACATAAATCACCACCACACCGAGTAGAGTGGAGCTCTGTTGCACCTCTATTATATTGTTTACCACGTTTCCCTGCTGAAGACTGTGGGTTCTTCATTTGCACGGAAATGTCAACTCTAACCTGCCTACTGCCATGAAATAACGGATTTTAACACTGAACCATGACTCATCGCAACACTGCAATTCAACTGAAAACAGTTCTCAAACATCGGACACAGATGAACGGAAAGTTGTGCCACATCCACACCATCACGTTTCCAAGCAACATAATGACTGTGAGACACACACACACACACACACACACACACACACACACACACGAATGAATGAATGAATGAATAAAGTGACTCACCAAATGGTTGGTGGTTCAGACCCCTCCACTTCCAGGTAGTCGTACTTCTCCTCTGACTGGAAGTCTGTAAAGATGACAGAGATGGTGTCTCCAGGTTCGGCCAATAGGATCCAAGTACAGTCGGCCTGGTTACTATAGTTGCCGGGGTAACCGGGACTGGTCACCACCCCACTGCCGCCCCTCACAGTGCCCCCACATGTGTCCTCAGCTGTCAATCAAATCAGAGTGACAAATAGAAAACCTGGGTTAGGGAGAGGAGGAGGGACCGAGGGGCGGACTTCTTTTTAATTTAATTTCTTGCTTTTTGGATAAATTATTTAAATTTCCACAGCTATATCAATTCGGTTTATTACCAAATTAGCAATTAAGATCAAATTCTCAATAGCATCATTTCTCTACGCCTCGAGTAGATTACAGGTCAGCCAGCCCGACTCCCCTACCTCTCTCCCTCTATGAGGCTTTTTTAATTACCTTTATTTTAGTATATTACAGGTACACTCTTTACTGGCAACTCTAAATGTTATTTTGTGGCTTGAATGTTAGAGATGGATTGACACATAAACTGTCAAGTCATATTAGCAAACCATATTGTGAAAACATGGAGCTCTTACATCACACTTCTGATATGAATTAGATATGGAAACTAGCATATGCATGGTGAGACCCAAACAGTCCTTATTTTGTGGACTATCAGGTCTCTGCCGTTAAGCCAGTAGATTTGGGAGAATGATGCGGTTCTATATTATATTAGTTAGAATCAGGGGTGGGGTTTTAGGGGTTAGGCTGCAGTTCCTGTCCCACTCACAGCTGCTGTCCTCTCCTCCAATAACAAGATAAGTTGTCCCATTACAGATCTCCGCTCTGCTCTCCTCCAATCACCACCAAGGAACTTCAGATTCAACTGTTACCCAATTGGCTGTCAGCAAATTAATTAATCCTCAATTAGTTTCAAAACACGAATGATCAGATCAGACCAGATGTGATGATAAATTTGTCTAATTTTTGATCAAAGTGTTGATCACATCTCATTGATAGTATTGTTCATAATTGATAGTAGTACTGATTACTGTGTAACAGATAAAGACACATGGATTGCGCTGTGCACACGGCATAAATTATACACATATAATTTATACAGCCACACTCACGGAGAAAAAAAACAACATACTACATTGGACCTTGTGTGTCACTGGGGCATTGGTTGTATGGCAAGATATTGAAGAGGGCTGAAGGTGCATGTTTTTGTACCCATTCTGTTGAAATAAATGGTTTGAAAGAAGGCAATGCCTGTGTTCATCAAAAGCAAATTGAGCCCAGCCAAGTAGCCATTGCCCCAGTGACAAAGATACAATGTTGAAGCTTTTTTTCTGAGAGCATGCAAGTCCAACTGTAAAAGAGGTATAAATTATACCTGTATAATTTATAGTTATACATAAAGGAGGCAATACTGTATGTAACACACTCTTACAGCAGACATATTTTCCTATACACACCAGTGAGTGCAATTTGGGATGACGCGTGATTTATATTACTCTGCGATGCTTCACGTGCTGATATCATCGGCATTTAGAGAAGACAGAGGAGCACCACGTGTGCTGTCCTTAAACTGCACTCACTGATAAGATAGTCAGACACGTCCTTTATAAGAGTGTGGACAAGCGCTGTCAGGTATACATGCACATCCCTTTATAGGCTCACCCAGGCGATGCTGCCTAGCGGGATGCATATACAGATGACAAGACATTTAAGGTAGGGACCAAGCCAGACTCCACCCACAGGAGGGGTAAAGAGAATAACTGTGGTCTGAGACTCACATCTAGAAACAGACGATAACCGATAGAAATGAATAGAATTAGAGGTATTAGAAATCGGACAGAACAGAGGGCACTGAGTAGAGACAGGAAATACACGGAGGATAACAGGGGGACATAAACAGAGAGGAGCAAACAGAGACAAACAGAACTATGAATCAAATCATAGAGAGCCGGATTGAAATAGGGAAAGAGTTTGTACAAACTATTTCAGATCGGAAACAAGAAACAGGATGAAACAAAATAAGTGGTTTGAAATGAGCTTGAAGAAAAACTGAGCTGTTTTTTTCAGAAGATCAGAGCGTGAAGTTGCGACCAATAGGCGCTTGATGCTCGTGTCAAAATGCGTGGACACAAGCTGGCGACAAGACGTGCATTGTCCCAAACTGCAGGTGCTGATGTATTGAACATAAAGTAGAGAAGGCATAAATAATTCATTAACAATTCATTCATTCAAACAGATTCATATGGGCCGCTGAGTCAGTCCGACAGACAGGCAGGCACTGACAGACAGACCATTCAGTTCTACAGATAGACGGTGAAGGAGATTTGTGTAAATGACCCAACAGCCTGAACCAAGCTCTGCTGAGACCCCATCACATTTGCTGGAGCCAATGATGCAGTAGTTTGTGTATGTGTCGGAGTGTGAGCGTGCGTGTGCATAAGTGTAGGGGTGTGTGTGTGTGTGTGTGTGTGTCTGCAGCGTTGGAAAGAGAGCTGCTTGCAAGATGAGAGCTGTGACAGATTTAGCCAAAGGACATCCGCAAGCACTGGTGGACACACACCGGCTTGCATGCACACACACGCACACACGCGCACACACACACACACACACACACACACACCCCTCTTCCAGCCCTCCAGCTTATTGATGTGTCGGTGACACTTGACAGACAGGTGGAAAGGCCTCAAGGTGCATTTATGTGTGGATGTTATTGAAAAAAAGAGGAAATTAACTTGTGAAATAAAAAAAAAGATGACTAAACTAGTGAGCGGTGCTCTTGTGTGCAGTGGGCCTCTACATTATGATGTTGTAGCATGTACTCTGGCTTTGGCAATCAGAATCCTTTAGAGTGACCGATAGCATCAAACAACTTCAACATTACTTTTAAAAAAAATAAGCCAACTTGAAAACTGATGTAGAGGAAACCTGAAAGCCATGTGAGGACTCCGTGAGAACATTTTAAATGACACATGATGCAATTAGGATCCTCACTGATGCTGTTGCGTGTCATCCAGTAACGGCAGGGCTGTGCAGAGACCGCTTCAGGAGCAGCTGCTCTAATAAAAAGTGACATTTGTTGAGCGCTCACAAGGGGGAGGGTGAGAAGTCCACATACCTATAGCCAACAGTGATTACCTTCTGTTCAATGTGCGCGCATCGGACATGACATGGAACCAGTCAACTTTCCATGTTGCACCTGCTAATTCTGGATTCCGCTCGCTCTTGCTCCATCAATCATGATGGGACATCTGTGTGACAGTGTTAAATAGTACTGTGTACCTGTGTCTATCATTTTCTGGTCCCATGGCTTCCCCCCCTTTTTTCTCTATTTTACAGCAGCAGTTAAAATTAATATGTCACTATTGAAACAATCTCACCAATAAAAGCAGGCAGCAGTGAACAATGTTTCATACTGTTTTCTGTAATGATTCTAACATACTGCAGCTTGCTTTTAAGCAGAGTGGAGCAAATAAATGATCATCTCATTTTGAAACACTACACCATTTAAACGGAGTTCATACATGTCCGATCAGCTTATATCAGAAATCTTTAAATTCAATAAGCATTTCAATTAATCTGTAGCTGACAACTAGGGTGTTGGTGAATAACCCTGTTCAGTCAAGGTTGAACCTAAATCTATGCACATTTAGATATACTGTGTCATGGGTTAGGGTTAGCACCAAACTAGTACATCAAATTACTTTAAAGCATTGTTCTTAGTCTTAAACTTCTTCTTACCTATATGTACATGTGTCTATGCATCCATTCATTGTACAGAGGTTTACATGAGTTTATAATCTCTAAAATCAGCATTTATTTTGATGGACTAACAAAAACACAGCAATTCCTATTTTCAGGTATACACACTAAATAAAACATACTTATTAATATCCCATTCCATTTCCGCCAATAGACCTCCCTGAATGCCACACGCTGGCCTTTTAATTTAAAATGACTTCCTGTGATGCGAGACTTGTACTTCCCACTGAAAATCAACACCCGACACCGTAGTGATAAATACCATGTCACTGTGAAGTGACTTGTATTAGGGGCTTTGTATAAAAAAAGGCAAACATTTCCAAAACAGAGGCCCTTATTTCCCAAAGCTTTATATTAATCATTGGTAATCTATGAGGCATTACAAGTGGACAAACATACAGTGCATGTGAAAGATTTAAGAAACCAGGGAAACTGACTCACAGGGGGAGGGGAAGTGTGTGTAGAGGGAAAGTGTTATATGTTAGTTTTGAGTGTGTATGTGTGTATGAGGACATCAGTGGGCTCTCTCTAGTTGTTGTTGTAGCACTACTTCTCTTTGCTTCCCTACTGTTCTATGCTTGCTACACCCCTCCTCCTACTCATTTCTGTATCAAGATTATTTTTATAGTAAAACAGCACATCTCCCTCCACATCCACTCTTCATGTCCTTACCCTCCTCCTCCCTCCCTCGGTTCACCCCTCCGTGTTTTCTTTTCTCTTCCTCGTTCATCCTCGGCCCTCCTCGTCATTCCCCCGTCCTAACTCTCCCCATCTCACCCTCCCTTGCTCCTTCTCTCTCATGGCCTGGGGTGCTTTGATCACTCGTTCTCAGCCTCCTTATCCTGCCTCCCCTTTCTCGCATCCGTTCATCCCCTCTTCCCCACTGTGCTGTCATCAATATCGCCGTCATCTGAGGATCCCTTCTTTATCCTTCTCCGTCTTGCTGTGTCTTTCTTTAAGATCTTACTGTCTCTACTTTTCTCTCTCTCTCTCTCTCTCTCTCTCTCTCTCTCTCTCTCTCGCCCTCTCTCTCTTTCTACTGATTGATTTTATGTTTAATGGCTTTACTGGCCTCATCTCTTTCTCTCTTCTCTTTTCCACTCGCCTTCTCTTCCTTTCCTTCTGTGCCATAACTCCATTCCTTTCCTGCCTCACTTTGATAGGCAGATCTCTACCACTATCAGATCTGCACCCACACACACACACACACACACACACACACACACACACACACGTGCAGACTTCTATCACAGAGGACCCAGTGTGCTGTCAGCCTCTAAGGATTACGGGTCATCTACATCATCCTCTCCTCTCCTCTCTCTTCAGGCTGTATCCATCCATCCCTCCTGCTCTCTTATCTACATCCACCCACCCATCCATCAACCTCTTGTCCCCATATATGCTGTGAAGCTG